TTATGAAACTATTTTTAAAACACAAAAAAATAATTTGGAAGATACAAACCAAACAGGTGGATATTTTTTTGTTTCAAAACATGCCCCAAAGAACAGACTTAGTCAGTCTATTAGTTAGCAGAATTTTTCCACAAGCTGTGAAAATTTTTAGTCTACAGAACTGAATTTTTAAACAGCTGAAGATTTTGAAGGGGTACCTGACAGAACAACATTTGAAGTCCACCCGAAAGGAAGAGATTTCTTCTTCCGTACTTGTCAACGGTGGCAATTGAAACTAAGGTTGAAAGGCAATTCACAAGGCCAGTGATCACAGCAGACATGAGTGAAGCATTAGATCCAAAACCAATGGTTTTGAAGAGGACAGGCGCGTAAAACATAATCACATTCATGCCAGTGAGTTGCTGAAAGAAAGGAATGCAGATGGCAAATGTCAACTGTGGTCTATGCTTTCTCTCCAGTAGATTTATCCATGGGTGTTTTATCGCTGTAGATTGTTCACTGGCCTTAACTAGGTCATTGAACTCCTCATCAACATTGACATTGCCACGAATACTTTGAAGTCTTTCCCTAGCTTCCTCTCTTTCACCACGCTCGATCAAAGAGTTGGGCGTGTCAGGAAGGGACAGTGAACCGATGATGAAGATCAAAGCAGGGACAACAGCACCACCCAAGCTCAATCGCCACCCCCAACCTCCCTTGATCTGGGCAAAGAAGTAGTTCAACAAGTTGGCGGCTAGGATACCAATTGTAATGGACAGTTGAAAGACTATGTTCAGAGCACCACGGTACTTGTATGGAGCCATCTCAGAGAGGTAGAGTGGCACTGACTGCAAAAACACAATTGAACGACAAATTAATAATCAGGATTGTCCATTATGAACAATACCAGCAAGACAATTAAACTGACACTACAAGTACACATGCATGCTCACAATTTTTTTTTTAGTTCAAGGGTCAAAGATGTCCGGACCTATTAACCTCAATTAATCTCTTATTCGAAATTGTCGAGGCTAGTAATACACACTGAAGTTAGAGTATTCATAAAAAATAAATTCAGATTAAAATATTCATGAGAATAAATCATTCGTGGTCTAACCCCAATAAATTGTCACAAAATATCTTTACAATTCTTTTCTGTTATTACTTGAGTTATCCTTGGATTTATGCTTACAAGGTTTGAGCAAAGTAATGTTAATCCAATTACCCAAAAAAGATATTACAAAATTTCATTAAACAGTAAAGACATGCAGATAGTCACCTTTGTTATTCAATGCCAAAAACATGCCCCATTTAAAGTTGTCTCAAACGGTTCATCTGATATAAGTCGGTCACAAAATAATCTTATTGTACTGCATCATATATTTCAAAAAAATAGCTTTTTTTTTTATGCATATATTCATAGCATCAGAGGAATTTAATTTAGCAAAAAAACCTTCTGGTTTCCGATCAAAATTTGAGGGCTAAAATCACAAATATTGCTAGGATGCTGAAATATAAGGCATATTTAAAGTCTAAATTAAGAAATAAATTCACATATGTATAATATAGGGTAGCCCAACCCAACTTATGCATACAATACTAGAATAAGAATAACAACTATCACACACACACATATCTATATTGAAAAGGAAAAAGAAAACGAGAAAATTAGACCTGATTTGCGAACCCAATACCGACACCAAGAAAAATTCGACCAAGAATAAGCATGAAAACGTTTTTAGCAGAGGCATTCACGATTGCACCAGCACAAAAAAGAAGTCCTCCAGCGAGCATAGATATCCTTCTTCCAAACTTTCTGGTCACAGTCGAAGCTAAGAAAGATGCTACAAGAGCAGCCAAATACAGCGACGATGTGAACATTGTTAAAATTGGGCTGTTGAATTTACAATAAGAATCCGAAGATCCAACGACATCCTCCTGCTTCTTATACACTTTAGGGAAGAACTTCTTCAAGAAAGGAGACATAGAGGTCACACCACCTACGAAATCAACGTTAACCCATACCAAAACACAATTTTCATCAAGAAGAAAATAATTAGAGAAAAAAAGTATGATGCATGTTCATGTTCGTGCAAAACTGAACGTATTGAAAAACATCTCCTTATGTATTTAATCAGAAACTCAATCGATTATTGTTTAAAACTGAATACAAAACGTATGGACAAATGTCTCCTTATGTATTGAACAAGAAAATAGATTATACTCGTGCAGAAGTATCTAACTATCTATAGTAAAAATAAAAAGAGACGTGCCATTATATATATGCATGCATGTGTGTGGACATGGTACAAGAAAAAGTATTGAAGAGCAAACCTGAGATTCCGATATCGTAGCCGAAGATTAGACCTCCCATGGCTGCCACAATGCACGTCACTAACACTTTTTTCGTCAGTTCTCCGGGATACCCTTTACCTCCGGGAGGCGGAGCAATTACCCCCCCACCAGCCATTATAGACCACTTTCTCTTTCACTTGCAGAACCTAGGGTTTAGAGAACTCACCAGGAGAAGAAAACATGTATGTAATGTGTTGGTGAGTATATATATATATATATACACAATTGAACTCTCTGGCTGCAATCTTTTCGCCCAAGATTTAAGAACTTTATCCTTATCCAAGTTTAGTTTGTTAGTCTTAGAACTCTTGAAAGATTTTATCGTTTCGTGTAGGTTTATCTATAATATTTTTGAATTAGTGTTCAATTAGGATATCTGACCAGAAACAATATTGAAGCTTTTAATTATTTTTTTGGATTGGAGTTTCAAAATTTTGGCACACCCTATGATCGTGGGACCCTCAAAACTAAACATGTTATTCAGATCGCAACGAATTTGTATCAAAAAAAAACTTCAGTTCGTTTGATTGCCGTATTATAAATGAATGAATTAGATAAAGTAATACAGTTTAATACAATATCGATGTAAAAAGACAAGATTAAATAGGGTATTAGAATAATACGTAATTTTATCTAATGTTTGATAATACACAATATAAGCATTAGATAATAGTTAATTAATCCAATCAGTTGTTTGGTTAAGACATTATTTCATGATATTAATATTAAATTAATAAAAATACTTTTAATCACTGTTTGTTATATTGATGATAACTAGATTTTATCAGTTGAGGGTTATAATAGTAAATTTGTAAAATAATACGTTTGAGTTGTATTATAATACCACATATTTTGGTGGTATTAAAATACCTCTATAATAGAGGTCATCGTATAAAAAATATACGATAAATATACGTTTTTGAAATTAGTACGACTTCAAATTTGTTAACAAACAAAGTATTAGACCTGATTAAATAAAAAATAATACAATATAATATTTAATTCTCTCATAATACGTTTACCAAACGAGCCTTTCATGTATATCTAATTCGTTTATTAATATGTGTCTAACGCATTGTGTCGCATTGGGTTTGTGTTGTGTATAATAGGTATATAAACGAGTCGTATCATGTATTCTTTTTGAGTTGTTTCACACATATCCGATTTATTTATTAATCAAGTCATGTCAGGTCCACACGTTTAGTAAACGGGTGGTTTAAGAAAGACCCAAAGCCAATAACTTCGTGTTATATTAATAAATCGTGTCATATTTTGACACCCTTACTTAAAACGTATTTGCAAAAAATAATGTTACTTGAATATAATCACTTTGTGCCACTTAATCAACCAACTTGTACCGATTCACCCTTAAGTTAGAAAGCTTTATTATTTGTTTTTGTTAAAACATGTGAAATGGGTAATGGAGAAAAAAAAAACTCTATCCATAATGGTGAGGCAGTTTTGTTTTTTTCTAAATATCCTGATTATAACACTCTATCCGATAATCCTATTTGAATCAGCAGGTTTAAGGATATTTTTTTATGCAAAAGTTTACTAAATTTATTAGGACTTTAATGGTAGTTTTGTAGTTGAAATCTTACAGGCAAAAGTTTACTAAATTTATTAGGACTGTAATGGTAGTTTTGTAGTTGAAATCTTACAGGCAAAAGTTTACTAAATTTATTAGGACTGTAATGGTAGTTTTGTAGTTGAAATCTTACAGGCGGAAGAAGAATTATAGCAAAATTAGGGTTTCTTTATGAAAATCCTAATCCATTAAGAAATAAACAAATTGAGTCCAGATCGGATTCAGACTAACCCATCAAGTAATAACCATTTATGGCTAATATTGTTGATTAGAAACATAGCTATGGGTAGGGGTATTTATGGGCTGGGTTGCTCACAGGTCCATTATTTCGTCCAAACAAAAATAAGTTTGAAATTTGATAGGCCTAATAGTTAACTCGCTCGAGTTCGAGACCAATATTTTTTAAGAGAGGACTTGAACTTGTCTTCAAACCCATTACCTGCTCTGAAACTCATCTCATGAGCCCACCCACCAGCTCACCTAGCCTGTCTGTCCTTCCACCCACTTGTTTGAAAAAAAACTTAACTAATGAAATTTTGAAAGTTTGGTGATAATATATGACTCTACTTTATTTAAATAAAGTTATTCATTTTTTATTTTTTGTCCATTTTGATTTTACTTTTGATTCAAAAATATAATTTACAAAAATATTAAGTTAAAAATTTTTTAAATAAAATTGTATATATATAAAAAAAGACCAACTCAACAAGCTCATCCAATTGGCTTTCCCAGTGAGTGGCGAGTTAAGCTTGGGGTAGCCTACAACTCGGGGTGACCCCCTTCCCCCCGATAACTCGCTTGGATAAAAATTTGAGTCTACACTACCCAAGTTCTGCCCAAAAAAAATGTGCAAGTCTAACCCGGTTTAGCCCATGTACTACCCCCTACCTGTAGTTAGATAGGCTGTTGAGGCTCTATAATGTAAAAAAAGTGGGGGGGAGTCACCTTATTCACTTGTTTATTTAATATTAGACGGTTACACCACATAATAATCCTGACGTAGTATAGCCGTTATACTCAATATTTAGTCCAATTAGAGGTGATATGTGGTGAATTTTGTTAAGTTTCCAAACTTTTTGAAATTTTCAATCATCTTTACTGCAATCAAGTAATTCATTAGTAATGTGAACTAATTTCAAGAGAAATATTAATTGTACTTAATTTATCAATTTAATTTGCTAATCTAATCACTTACTGACATTGAGTTGACGGTGAATTTTTAGTATGTTTTAGGACCCATTACTAATTCAATTGTTGTAGGGATTAATTTAGCCAATTACATCATTAAATAAGGTTCCAATAGTGTTATTGTCACTTACGAGTCCTAATACCACTTAAGCTCAATAATTGTTTAAAACATGATCGTGTGCTAGAAAATAAATTATATATGTTCTCTGTGTATTTTTTTTTTCTTTTTTGGTTCAAGAAAGGAGTATTTTTATTTTTTAGTAAATAATAAAATGGGAAATTGTCATTTTGTTCGAGACCTTCCTGGGTTGGGCTAACGGACCATCTATGTCGCCCTTTTGTTTAGGTCGGGCTGACCCACCAAACAGTAACCAACTAGGCAGCCAGCCTTTAAGCTAGACTCCAAAACAATAGGGAGGAGAGATCCTAACCATACGCTTGGTGATTGTAAGGGGTAAAAAACCTTACAAACTAATAAGAATTTGATTAGGAACAAATGAACAATAAGATAAACTGCCAGAGATCAAGGTGAACCGGCTGGAGGCACTACAATGCTCGAGTCAATAAAGGTTTCTCCAATATAATTAAAGATATTTGAAAGAAAAGTAGTGTATACCTTCGACTTTAAGTTTAATTTTGTCTTTATATGATGATCTAGTACCCTTTCTAATAGGTTCTTGCCTTTGACCATGTGAGGTAGTACACCTTATAGTTAGTCGAATTGCTAGTGATTATTATTGAAATCCTTTCCAATGTTTCTGACTCATATATTTATTTGGGCACGTAGATAATGTTTATTTGTGACTTGAGTAACGTGCTTATCAATATAGCACCATTTTTGATTCTTCGAGATAATACGATCTTCTTAGTTTGGGTTCAATTCTGTCTGCTCTTATCACCTTAATTGAATTGTAGTCCGGTTGCTGATGGAGGTTCGGCCTATTTAACTAAGTACATGTGGTACCTAGTTCAAACTGATTCCTCAAATGGTTCGGTCAATTCTAATTTGTCGACCTTCTGAGTAGTCGCCATGTCGGCCGCATGATCTTTATCACGTGTCTATACTTATTTCCAATCATTGAATGTTTATTCATACACGTTAATTCTGTGTTCCTCCAGTATTAAAGTTTGGTACTCAAATATTTGAGCCATCTTGTCATCTATGCTCATATGTTCTCAAAAGTCAAACCATCTTCTCTTCCCTTCTTTTTTTTTTGTTTTTTTTTTTTTGTTTTTTCTCTTTTGGATGGTTTTGTTTACCATTCAAGAAGGTATACATAGACATTCCGATGGTCACAAAAGCATCAAATGAATCTAAATGGGATCGCTTTCATTACCAAAAATGTTGAGCAACAATTCGAAATTAAGTTTGTATTGGAAAAAAATTTGTAGTATTGTATGAAAAAATAGAGTCATGTTTAGTTTATATCTTAGAAACATGTTTTTTGGTTTTCATAAATAAGGAGGAAAATTGTTTGACTAACTGTTTTTTATTTTTATTTTTAAAAAATTGAGAATAAAAAATAGACAGATTCAAATAACATGTTAAGATAGTTTTATATCTTTTTAGAAACAATTTTTATAGAATTTAGAAAAACACATCACCAACACATTTATGTTTTTATTGTTTTTTGAGTTACTGTCCAAATAAATTTTACTATTTTTTATTCCGTAAAATTGTTTTAGAAATTATATAACCAAACAAATTTTACAACACAAAAAACACGAAAATAACACTTTTTTAAAATTATTTTTAAAAATAATTTTAAGATACTGTTTTTTTTTATACTCAAATTAAACAGGGCTAGTATTTTTAAAAATTGATTTTTAATATTTAAAAATAAAATATTTTTTGGTTACTGAAGAAATTTAAAAATAAAATCACAACTAATTTAGAATGCACAAAATTACTTAAAATAAAATCACACGTAATTTAGTACTCGAACCTTAACGAGGTGTTGGAGGTGGTGGACTGCAAAGTGACTGACCAGATGAACCAAAGCCTGTTGAGAGTTGTCTGTGAGGATGAAGTTTTTAAGGCTGTTCAACAATTGGGAGCTCATAAGGCTCTTGGTCCGGATGGTTTCTCCAAGGAGTTTTATTCCTCTCTTTGGCCCATTGTTGGTAAGGAGGTTTGCAAAGCGGTGAGATGTTTTTTTTGAAGGGGGCTTCATGTTGAGGGGGTTGAATAGAACTAATATTATTCTCATTCCCAAGGAGGCAAACCCAGAATCAATTTCACAGTACAGACCAATTGCTCTTTGCAATTTTATCTATAAGGTAATTTTTAAAGTAATGGCAAATAGAATGAAGGGCTTCATGAACTCCATCATCTCCCCACAGCAAGCGGCTTTCGTTCCCAAAAGGCAAATCCAGGACTGTGTTATTGTGGCGAATGAGGTACTCCATCACCTGAAGTTGAAGAGGAAAGGCACAATACCGAAGATTGCAATCAAAATAGATATCAGCAAAGCATACGACAGAATCGAATGGGACTTCCTGGAAGCAACATTGCTCAAGCTTGGGTTCAACTCTACATGGGTACATCTCCTCATTCAATGCGTCTCTACGGTTAGCTTTCAGATTGTTGTGAATGGAGAAAGAATAGAAGTTTTTTACCCTCAAAGGGGAATTCGCCAAGGGGATCCTTTATCGCCCTATCTCTTCATCTTGGTTGCGGATGTCTTATCTTTGATGATACAAAAAGGAGTGGAAGAGCATAGTTTTTTGGGTATAAAAGTCCGTCGAAGAAGCCCTGCTATTTTCCACCTTCTATTTGCAGATGACTCTTTGTTTTTTATAAAGGCAAAGGAGCAGTGCATCATTAATTTGTTTGGTATTCTAGAAAATTTTGGTATGGCCTCAGGATAGTGTATGAACTACCACGAGTCTGGCATCCTGTTTTCAACAAATACAACACCGGATCAAAGAGCCCGCCTTTGTAATCTTTCGGGAATGCAATCACTATCACTTGAGTCCAGGTGTTTGGGTCTCCCCGCCTTCTGGGGTAGATCAAAGAATGAGGTTTTTGGGTTCTTATTAGAACGCGTCTTGAAAAAGTTGCAGGGTTGGCGATGTTTGTTGCTAACACTTGGCGGGAAAGAGATTCGAATCAAAGCTGTGGTGCAAGCAATTCCATCCTATGCCATGCCGGTTATTTTATTTCCTAAAGGTTTTTGTGACAAGTTGGATAAGTATGTTAGGTCCTTTGGTGGGGTGATGGCGGGGAAAAGTGTGGTATTTATTGGAAAAAATGGGAGCTGATGGTGGACTTAAAGATGAGGGGGGTATGGGTTTTAGGATTTTCATTGCTTTAATCAAGCTCTTTTGGCGAAGCAAGGTTGGAGAATTCTTCACCAGCCTGATTCCTTTTAGGTAAAATTTCTGAAGTCAGTCTACTTCCCTGATTGTGATTTTATGGTGGCAAAGAGGGGGGCTAGGCCTTCTTTGTTTTGGAGTAGTTTACTGAAGGGAAGGGAGCTGTTGGGGAATGGGCTGTTATGGCAAGTTTTGGATGGAAACAAGATAAATATTTGGGATGATAAATGAGTTCCTCTCCTTCCACAGACAGCTATTTCCACTGCTAGGCCCCAACCATGTGTTATTGAACGAGTAAGCCAACTCATCTCTCAACCTTTCAAAGCCTGGAACTCTTACTTACTGTCCTTCTTGTTCACTGCTGCCGATTGCAAGGGCATCTTATCCATCCCCATATCGAAGTTAAGTGGCAGTGATATAAGGATTTGGCAACCTTGTTCAACCGGTGCATTCTCTGTCAAGTCAGGTTATTCTTTGGCAATCACTCTCAAATCCTCATGCACTTTGGAAGCTAGCTCTTCATTTTCTCCTCACTCGAAGCTTTGGCATGTTTTATGGCATATGGAGGCTCTCCCAAAAGTTCGACATTTCTAGTGGAAGGTATGTAACAATGCACTGGTCTCTCGGGAAAATCTGTTTAAAAGGAGATGTGCAAATTCTTCTTGGTGCCAAATTTTCAAAGACAAGGTGGAGTCAATTGAACACCTTCTATTTGGATGCGAATGGACAAGAAAAGTCTAGTTTGGCTTGGACCTTGGTTTCAGATTCGTAGAGGATTTGAATGTGTCAACTTTTTTTTGGTGTTTGTCTCTCCTGGGGGCCATCAACAACACTGTCCGATCCATTGAGATTATGGGCAAAGTCGCAACAATAGCGTGGAATATTTGGAAGGGCCAAAATCAACTGGTGTTTAACTAAGAAGCGTCGGATGCATTCTCCACTCTTATCAAAGCCAACCTGTCGTGGAATGAAGTGGTGTCCGTGTATAAAGGTTCTGCTGGGTGCCATTTGTCTTCTTTCAGGTCTGTTCCTTCTCCTCTGGAGCGGTTTAATGGTCCTCATATTAGTTGTGATGGAGCTTTCAAAGAGCGGAGTGCTGCTATAGGTGTTATTTTGAGGGATACAAATGACTGCCTTTTGGATGGAATTGGAAAGTGTATCCCTGCTGTTTCAAGTATTTTTGCGGAGGCAACTGCTGTAAGAGAGACTTGCTTACTTGCAAGTGCTTATCACCTTCGATTTTGCACAATTGAGTGTGATAATCTGGAGGTTATCAAACTCAACTCAACCAAGGGACTTCCGCCTTGGGAGATAAGTATTTTTGTGGAAGATATCAAATCATATGTTCGACACTTAGATCTTAGGTTTTTACACAAATCACGAGCCCTTAACAGGGCAGCTCATTGGATGACAGTTTCGACACTTTCTAATTCTCTTCTTGTGAATTGAGTCAGCTGTCCCCTATTAGAGTTTCAGGCTTTTTTTTGCATCTGACTGTAACCAAGTTTTTTCTACTTAAATGAACTTGGTTATATTTCAAACCAAAAAAAAAAAAAAAAACCTTAAACATGAACCGGAATAAAATTGAATTTTAAGTTGTACCCGATCGGGCCCATGTATCCTCAAAGGTCGTAATGCAGTCCTAAAAACGAGAAACAAAGACCCCATTTATGGTCAAGGTTCACGTTGTTCCCGTGGCCAAAGCATCGTCCATCGCCCCCAATGGACACGCGACAGCCCTTAGTTTGCTTGTCGTCACTTGAAATTTCCCACCACCTTTTTTCTTCGAAAAAGCCGCCGCCACACAATTCTTTTGATATTTTTTTTCTTCTTATCCTTTTATGACGTTGAAATTGAGATCAAGTTATGAAAAATTTATTTTTTTATAAATTTATTAATTTTGACGTAAATAACTTACATATGATCGAACTAGAGAATAGATTTATTAAAGTGTGTATAAATTGATCTTGACACCCTTAATCATTAAAATTAATGCTCCGTTTAGTACGAAAGATGAAAAATAAGAATGATCCATTTTCATTCTTTTTTGTTTGGTTGGATGGATGAAAAATAAAAATAATTAATTTTTTTTTCTAACTAAGATTAAGGGTAATAATCAAATCGTATCGTATCAAATTTTTATTGAGTTATAAAATTATAAATTTTTTATATTTCTTGTTTGCATGTCAAATCATTTTTAAGTTTGTGTCATAAAATTCTTATCAAGTTCGACTCGTGCTATCGTGTTGAGTCGAAAATTTTTACCCTTAGTTAAGATGAAAAAAATATTTTTTTTAATTTAAATTTAAATTTTTTATTTTTATTTTATTTTTAAATTATATATATATAAATACATATTTTATTATATTTTTATATTAAATTAATATATATATATATAATAAATGTGTATATGAACAGATATATAGACAAATAAAATACACCTCAATACAAATAATTAATTTTTTATCTATTTTTCTTCCGATTTTAGAGGGATTGATTTTGGTGAATTGGAAAGAAAGTTAATTCATCCACTTTTTCATCCTTATTATCAAACATGATGTTTTATTTATCTCTTCAACTTTTCATCCTTATATTTTTTCATCATACCAAACACAGCATTAAAAAAAAAAAAACTAAACTGCAAACAAAATATAGAAAAAAATGTTATTTCAATTTAATTTGTTTAATTGATGTATTAGATTTGTTAAATTAATAGCGAATCTCAATTAAATCTAATGAAAAAAATTAATGAAATTTTTTTATTTTACACCTCGAAAAATATCTCAATTTTTACTTTCTATCTTAAAAGATTTTTTTTTTTTCACAATGAACCATAAATGTCATAAATTAGTTTTAACATATGTTTTAAATTCTTTTAAACATAGATATACATGTCACCTAATAATATGAATGGTGAGTTTACATTTTTCTCTAAAAACAAAATACGTGGGCGACAAGTGCATCAATTTTTAATGAAATTTGAAACGGATATCAGTCTAAGGCCTACATTAGAACCAATTCATACTATTTAGGGTACAAAGTGATAAAAATATTCTTTCAAGCATAAAATGAGAATTGATTGTCAAAAACCCTAAAATAATTGATTAGTAAATAACGTGGGACATCCAAATTACGTGTAGTGCAACATCATTTAAATTTTATATGTTGAAATGAGACTTTTTTTATATAGGCATAGTAAGATATGACTAAGAAAATGAAAATTTTATTTTTTATTATTATATCAAAATTGTTATAAAATGAAAACGAAGTTACAACTTTTAATTTCTCATTTTAAAAGGTTTAGGACCAAAAATATCAAAAACAAAGGTAGTGGAAAATAACGTAAGGCCTATCATCAGTGTGCTGATGTAATCCTTTTTTATTTTTAAATCCTAGGGAACCTATATAATATAATACTAACACCTGTCAGCACATGGTCGCCCACCACCACAACACGCACTTCCCCTGTAAAAAATAAGGATCAACACCAGGAAGATCAGGTTTACGACATGATCCTTTTGGCACCCTTTTTTATTTGATAAGAGAGACGGGGGAACTCTATAGTATCGATATTTTTTTTTTTTGGTATTGCTATTATCGGTTACTATTTATATTTTATATGATAAAATTATAATTTTGAAATAAAAAATTATAACTGTTTAGAGAAAGTTATGATCAATTATATATACTTATAATTGATCATAAAAAATACGGTATCGATCTCAACATTTCATGATCAATTATGTTCCTTAATTATATGTTTGGTTGGAATAATAAAAATATAAAGGATATAAAAATAGAAAGAATGAATTTTCCGATCATAAAGAAAGGAAGCTAATTTTCTCTTCATTTTGTTTGGTACAATGTATAAAAAGTTGGAAGGATAACTTTTCAATCTTTAGTATTAGAAGAAAAAAGAAAGGAAAGACAAAAGTAAATACTTTTAATTTATTATTATACCCTTAATTAAGAAAATAATTTTTACAATGATATAAAAGTTCAAAGCATTAATTTGTTATATTATCGAATAAATATATTTCAACAAATTAATATTTTTAATTCGACCTGTATAGAAAAATATAATTTCAATTGGACAAGTAAAAAATATAAATTATTTTTTGTAGTGTTTAAACATGGAAGATGTTTCTAGAATGTGCTATAATTTTTTTTTTTTTTTAAATTTCAATTAGTTTATTACATAAATACATTGATTTGTATAACAAATTAGAATAGAAAAGACTTGGAGGGTATTGTAATAAAGTGAAAATTTCATCAACACTCCCCTGGTTAGGCATAAATTCAAAGACACCCCCTCCTCATTCTAAATCTTCACTGCACTCTCTTCTGATTTACACTGTTAAATCAAAGACACATTTTACCGTAATCGACCGTTACTGATAATCAGAAAAGTGTTAATGTCATACCAATTTTTTTATGAAATGCCAATTTTACCCTTCTTATTCCACATGAAACCCTTCTCTCTCTCTCTCTCTCTCTCTCTCTCTCTCTCTCTCTCTCTCTCTCTCTCATGCCTCAATAACTCAATCACCTAACTGCAAAAACGTGACAATGAATTCAAGCCACTGATCCTAGCATGAACCGATGAAGAATAATATAAAAAATTCAGTGCTATGAATAGGTGACACCATCAAAAAAAAAAAAAAAGCCCGGTGACACCGTACCCTTAAACATAATATAAGGAAAAAATTCAAAATAATTTTTAAAAAAAAATTTAAAAAATTTGGTAACATTGTACCCTTAAACATAATATAAGAAAAAAATTCAAAATAATTTTTTTTTAAAAAAAATCAGTAACACCGTACGCTTAAACATAATACAAAGAAAAAAATTTAAATAATTTTTTTAGAAATTTTTTTGAAAAAAAAACCAGTGACATCGTACACTTAAATATAATATAAGGAAAAAATTCAAAACAATTTTAAAAAAAAAAAAACGGTGACACGTAAGCTTAAACATAATACAAGAAAAAAATTTAAAATAATTAAAAAAAAATCGATAATACCGTACGTTTAAACATAATACAAAAAAAAATTTAAAATAATTTTTTTAGAAATTTTTTTTAAAAAAAAATGGTGACACCTTACGCTTAATCATAATATAAAGAAAAAATTCAAAATAATTTTTTTAAAAAAAATGGTGACACTGTACGCTTAAATATAATACAAGGAAAAAGTTCAAAATAATTTAAAAAAAAAAAGGTAACACTGTATGCTTAAACATAATATAAAGAAAAAAATTTAAAATAATTTTTTTTTAAAAAATCGGTGAAATCGTACACTTAAACATAATACAAAAAAAAAAATTTTAAATCATTTTTTAAAAAAAATTAAAAAAAAAATTAATGACACCGTACACTTAAATTATATAATATTCATATATAGTTTAATAGTACTGCACATAACACTTGGAAATAAAAATATATATTTATATATAGTTTAATGAAAAATAATTGGTGAATATGTAATTATTTATAAAATTCATGAGTAAAATGATAAAACGTCTATTTCCGTCACGTCTGTTAGCCGAACAACACTGATAAGGGAGGTCAGTGAAATTTTTAAAAAGGCAAGGGGTGTCGTTAAAAATAAACCTATTTAGAGGGGGTGTTGATGAAATTTTTCCTATAATAAATTACCTTAGCCCCCACTGAAAGCTCCCAAATTCTCTCCAGCTTTCTGCCCAAAAGTGGACGGATTGAAAATGGTGGGCGGAAGTCATGATCTTTCATGCCAATTTTCCTTTCCATCACCCTTTGAAATCTAGCAATGGAAAAGTTTTCCTTCTCTTCCATTTTTCACGTTTCACTTTCCATCCACTCAATTTTTCACCATACTAAACATACAGTAAAATTATAACTTATATTTAAAAAATAATTACTTTTGATACCGGTACTGTAAAATTTCCTTAGAGAGAGTATCCTTCGGTTGGTTTGACATATAGACTGACAAATTGGGTTTTTATAGTTCTAAATTAGGTCCCACAAAATAATGATGTAATTCAAAGGATAAATCAAATAATAAAAAAGATAGATCATAAATTTAGACATCTGAAATTTGAATCTTGACAAGTTCTTGAGGCTAGATTATGAGTGATTTATCTCTTATGAATATCATAGTCCCAGCGTGGATGGTATATATTTGATCGGATCAGATAGACAATTAGTCGAGATATGCATA